TGCACCACTGACATCTTACACAGGCCAAGAGAGCATGAATGTTTTATTAGTCAAAAAAAAATGAAAATTTCTGGAGAGATTAGTGCCCCCAAAAGATCCCAGCACAGATTGAGAAAGAAGGGTGGGATGGCCAGCTTGGTGTTACATGATGATGAGGGGTAAAGTAGGATGGGGGCTTCTGCAAACAGCTGTGACACGATTAAGGAATTGTACCAGTGCCAAGGCTTCTCCACTGGTTCCTCATCAGCTGGCCTAGATGCGACAGAGGGAAAACGGAAGGGTGGGTCTTGAAAGCTGTGAACATTCAAATGCAGAGTCAGACTTTATTACAAAATATAACTAAAAATATTTAGAAGAGTTATAGATAATAAGTCAGTATGGGGGATAAAATAGCAACTTAAGAATGTTAAGAAAGCAGAAAGGGGTGAATGAGTGTAGGGAATAGGGAAAGGAGATGTTTCCAGAATGCTGCAGCAGGTTCTGATCTCCTCGTAGCTAGGACAGCACAAGAAAAATTAAAGAATAAAGAAAGGAAATGAGACTTAGAGGAGAAGCTGGATTTGGGGCCTGATCAGCGCTGCTCTGGGCAGCAAAGATGAAGGCACACCAAGCTTGTCACTATTTATTGGGCTCATGGGGAGTAGCAGGTGACTCAGAGGGCAGTGATAATGCTAAATTTTATAATCAGAGGAGGTATCAGATGTCTCAGAGGGTGGCAGTAATCCTACGACCATGAGGATCTTACACTGATGAGGATCTTACTCCGATGAGAAGTTTATGTTAATTAGGAAGGTAAAATGAGCAAAGGCTTCTTACCACAGTAGTGGGATGAGTTAAACTGATAAGAAATGTGCCCCTCCCCAGGTGAAACCTTTCTCTTACTACTCGGTTCTACCAGGATGTCTTCAGCTGATGCCATCTTGCCCTTGAGTGTCACAGCATCATGGGACCACTGAGGTCTCGCCTGTGACCAAAGGGAAAAATGGAGTTATGTTTCAGCATGTTATAGCAGGCCTATAGGCAAGAAGAACAGGACTAATCATAATTTCATTGTGAAAATTTTCCCCAAAAGGATGTAGAATGGCTCCCAGCAAAAGAGAACAAATGGAAAAGAGCTGACAAGATAGTTCAGTCATTCTCAGTATCCACAGGAGATTGGTTCTGTGTCCTCTGTGGTTAACGAGATCTGAAGACGTTCCAGTTCCTTGTATAAACCAGGGTAATAGTTGCATATAATCTACATGCCTTCTCCCTGTGTACTTTCCATCATCTTTGGATTACTTATCATACCTGATATAATGTGAATGTTATATAAACAGATGTTATATTGTTTAAGGAATAATGAACCAAAAAGTTTATATATGTTCAGGGAAGATGCAATTTTTTTTCAAATATTTTTTATCTATATTTGGTTGGAACTGTGGATTCAGAATATATGAATACAGGAGACTATTGTTAAATTTCACCATATCAACTCACTTGAAATACAAGTGATCTAAACATATCAGTTAAATGACAATGATTTTTCACATTGGATGAAAAAGCAAACTCTAATGGTAAGCAGGCTACAGAAACTGATTTTAATTGAAAGTATACATATATGTTAAAAGGAAAAAGCTAGAGAATGCACACCATGCAAGTGGAAACCAGCAGGAAGCTGAGGAGCTAAACTAGTTTCAGATGGAGACTTCAGACAAAGAAATATTTTCAGGAAAATAGAAAGGGCGTTACATAGTGATAGAGGACCCAGTTTTCCAAGAAGGTATAGAAATTCCAAATATATATATGCCTAACCATAGAGCTCCAAAACTACTAAAAACAAAAATTGGTTTGAATGGAGAAATAAACAAATTCACAGTTATAGTTGCAAACTTCAATTTTGCTCTCTGTGTAACTGATGGAAGAAGTTTGCTGGAAGTGAATATAAGGATATAGGGGATCCGAACAGCACCATCGACTAATCCAACCTAAAGGCCAGGTGCAGTGACAGAAGGTATATGTCCTTGAATGTGCTTGCGACTCTGCCCAAGAGGAACCACATTCTCAGTCACAAAACATGCCTTGGAAATTTTAAAAAAATATAAATCATATAAAGTATATTCTCGGACCACACAAGAATTTAACTATAATCAGTAACAGAAAGATCTTTCAGAAAGCCTCAAATATTTTTAAATTCCACAAAATACTTCTAACACATTAGCCAAAGAAGAAATCTCATAGAAAATCTTAAGATATTTTTAACTGAATGAAAGCCAAACTACAACCTATCAAGAGCTGGGTCGTGCAGCTAACCCAGTACTTACTGGGAGACATATAGCATTAAAATGGATGTGTTAGAAAGGGAGAGATTTATAAAAAATCAGTAAACTAAGCATCCGCCTTACTAAACTAGCAAAAGAGGGCAAATCAAACCAAAGGCAAACCAGGAAATGGTAAAAATTGGAACGTAGTTCATGAAACTGAGATCAGACAAATATTTAAAAAGTCAACAAAACCAAAGGTAGTTCATTGAAGAGTTAAATCAAATTGTTAAGCCCTAGCCAGAATAACCCAGAAGAAAAGCGAGATGAATAAATCACCAAATATCAAGAATGAAGGAAAGGTCATTACAGCTGATCCTAGCCATGTTAAAATCTTAATAAGTTCATACTAAAAATAATTTCCTATGGTCATAAATATGTTGGCTTAAATGAAATGAGTCTATTATTCAAAAGATTCCGACTACCAAAACTCACTCAAAAAGTAATAGATAACCTGAATAGTTCTATAATTATTAAATAAATTAGATTTTTTTATTTTGGTACTGAGGATTAAACTTGGGACTTTGCGCTTGTGAGGCAGGTGGCAGAACCACTGAGCTAAATCCCCGGCCCTAAATAAATTAGATTTTTAACTAAAAACTCTCCAAAAATGAAAATTTCTAGCCCCAATGGTTTCACTGGCAAATTTCACCAAACATGTCTGGAAGAAATACAGTGATATCCTGCTTCACAAGTTTGACTCTTTCCATGATCCTGGCCCCAAACTGAATTGGACAAGAACTGAATCAAATTCAGTAATTAGATTCAATGTTGACCTTGCAGGAAATTTGATTCAGTTCTCATCCAGTTCAGCTTGTGACTAGAATCCTGGAGAGAATTGAGTTTGTGAACCAAGGTACCACTGTAATGTCATTTCTATATAAAATAAGCCTTTCCGAGAAACTGAAGAGGAAGGTATATTTCCCAACTCAATCTATGAACAGAGAATTACAAAGAGTGACGTAGGAGGAAGAAGAAAAATAGAAATCCCTCTTTAAGAATGCCTCTTTAAGAACTGCTAGAGATGATCCACTGTTACACTCTAGAATTAGTGGGTAAACTTTAAGAAAAACAGGATATTTGCACAAATGAAAAGTCTACCCTGTAAAATGTATTAGTAACCATGTTTTTCATACATGCCTACAAATTATGCTTTTTTTCCCTACAAGAAAGTTGAGTTTTGTGCCCGTCTTCTTTAGTGGATTGGACTTAGGGACTCTTCCAAAGAAAAGAGTTACAGAAAGGGAAAAATAGCAACTTTATAGTTGAAAGATCACTGTGGACCACAGTGATCCACACAAGCATCAGTTGCCCCCCACAGGATGTGAGTAAAACCCTTCACCTAAGCAGTATACTTCCCAAAGCCATAACTCCAGCCTAGACATGGGAAACCCACAGACAAATCCACATGGAAGAACGCACTACAAAATACCTTACCAGTGATTTTAAGAAGTGGCAAGTTCTGAAATAAATAGAGACTCAAGGACTATCACAGGCTGGGGAAGAATAAAGAGATGAGAAAACTAAAGGCAATGCATTTAGTGCTGGATCAGGCCCAGAGCAGAAAGAGAGATGCTAGGGGGAAAGTGGGGAAATCTGCCCAACTAGCTACTTCAGCTGAGTGTATTCTACTCACACAGATTTCTTAGTTTGGACCATAGCTGGTAGGCATGGAGATGTTACTGTCAGGAAGTGGCCTTGGGCAGTGTAGGAGCTCTTGCACTGATTTTGGGTAACTCTGCACATCTAAAATGATGTATACACACATATAATTTTTATTAGCATGCACTGATTGTATATACACCTGCAGACAGCTTCTCTCTTCCCACCCCCATCCCTTTGCAATCACTATTAGTCATTATTCCACTTTCAGGTCAGCCTTTCTTTTTAGTCCTGGGGCACCTGCATCATAGCTCCACCTCACCTCCCCTCATACCCATAGTGTGACGCATAGGAGCCCTCGTTGCAGAAGCTGCTATCCACGAAATTCTATATACAGTGATATTCTTAGAGCAATTTTAAATAAACACAAACAAAAGTTTTATGGGAAAATAGAACAAACAGGAACCAGGAAGTGGTTTATTCAGCTTCACACCTGACCTGGGCAGGTATATAAGGGTCCCAGCCCAGGAGGCTCCACACCTGCACACCTCCATCTCCACCTGCTCCTCTGACCTCTCCATCTCCATC